ACACTGATACACGCGCGCGCGCGCACACGTGTACACACACACTGTCGCGATAGTTTAGGACCTAAGCCTTGAACGTACACGCAGCGATACACTACGCTGAACAGAACTATTCCACTAGGTGACAAAATCACCTCATTTATTAGCTAGCATTACAGTAACAACCTGTGTAGCATGACCATCCATATATTGCAACAATTCACTCTCTTATATCAGATAGATAACGACATGTCAATTTGTAACTATTCTAGATCAGTAATACAATCAGTCTCAAACTACTCTTAAAAAAGCAAGCAGTAATCACGCGTCAGACCTGCACCGTATTCTATTAAACTCTAAACCAAATCACTGGAATCCTGATTATACTAGTTATCACAAACATACAACCAACTCTACCTTCATCTAAAGGCATCAACACATTTTTACAGAATCGTTGCTTATTGCTGTCAATGTCGAGGGGGTAATACGTAGAGCTATGTGTAGTATGACTTAGCAGCAACACTGTTCCAATCAACCATTAAATTAGTTTCTAGGAAGGAAACTCGTACAGCCGAACAGGCATACAGCCGAAAAGGAAACGCCTTTCCCAGCTTTACAATGCTGCCAGCCTATATCAGTAGAAGTATATACAGTATCTGTACGCCAAACCAGTCACTTATAGCGCTTTATAGTACTGCAGTACATTTCGTTCAGTGCATTCAGTATTAGTACAGTATTTCCAGACAAAGGTTTGGCCATAGCGAGTAAGTCTGTGACTGTAATTTGCCCGTGTGAGACGCAGAGAAAGCACACGTCGGTTGAAGTGTAAGGTTTCACTGTATGTGCAATGACTCTTCACTCAAATTAAACGGGCAGACAAGAGTTGGCGACGGTACACAGTTCCCCATACCTTCCACAATACGTGGCTATGCATCCCAGCACACGGCGAAAGGCCGACCGACACCCTAACCACAGTTAATAAATATTTAACTGAAGGAACACAGGTCACTTCGTAAGTTTAGCTGTGTATCAGACGGGATGCAGAGACTCTCCTAGAAACTATTAACTTAAACGTGTACTTATGTATGTATTTCAACGACGTAAATTTACGCCCAATGCACTTATGTTTAGGTGCGTTGTTGTAAGTTTTGTAAGGGGTTTATTACGTGCTAATACTCCCACACCCTCCTGCTGGAGACTTTCCTACAGCTAATTATATTTTGCAGATGGCTGTCATCTCATAATTTGGCCGAAATAATCGGCTAAGGCGCAATTCTCATGTCATACTGTTACCTAAAATAAACCTTCACCTCACGTTTAAAATTCTTCAAAAAAAACTAGTAAAACGCTTAGGCGTACATTTAAAATCCGAGGGAATGCTATGCTATTATAATCTAAAAGCAATGCAAAACAGATACTACTAAATACAAACACCAATTGGTTCCCATTTGTAATTAATCACCTCTCGGGAGTTTCAACATATAAAATTCTATTTATCTGCTGTCTGCAAGTCTTAGCAAATGAAATATCAAGGATAAGAAGAAAAAGAAAATCACAGCTAATCAATACAATAGCTCCCAAAACAGTTTGAACACACCGTAATATAATCTAAAACTTATATTATGCAAGTGAAAATAAATACAGTATTTCAATATATATTTACACACATCTATGTACAGTTTCCAATAACAAATGCAACTTACCTGTGTGACCATGAGATAGCGCTGGCACCTACCTGGTGGCACTATTCTTGACATTCTGGCTATATAATTCCTTGCTATTCCCACGAGAAAAATTCATTCCAATAAACGCATATATGCAAATGGCATATGAAATTAATAAGTTAAATCCAGTATTGTCTCTTTATGTGATGAGGCCTTAAAAGATCAAAGTACAGTACACAATCTATTATCCGAAATTCTGAAAACCGAAAATCTCAGGAAACCGAAAGTTTTTTCGTGGAGGTCGTCTGCACACCAAAGCTTGCGTTTGGCTGCACAAGGTTCATGTGCTTGGCATTACTCATACATATTGTACTGTACTGGTACAGCACTTGGCCTCTTGAAAACTTGGGTTTTAGTACTGGCTAGTTGCAGGATATACGGTATGTTTATCTGTACTGTACTACCATTCCAAAATCCTAAAAATTCCGAATTCCGAAACATATCTGGTCCCAAGGGTTTCGGATAATAGATTATGTACTGTATATAGCAACAGCAAATGTGAGGGGTAAATATAAGGGTCACGTAGACTTTTTTCTTAGTTGTGACCTATCGCGTTGCTCTTGCCTTATTGCTGTTTTACTTATATATCCCCCCTAATTTATAACTTTTCTTTGTTAATAACTGATGGTTTTAAATGTGATGCATACATAGCACATAGAAGCAGCTGCAAAATTAGATTAGGCTCAGTTCCTGTGTAAACCATTATACGATTTAGTAACCACCACCTATAGATGTATCAACGCATTAAGATCCTACATAATAACACGGTACACCAGCATAGACAGTGGTTGTGTTGGTATTTTGTATGGTGGCCTCCATACTAGTACAAACATGAATGATCTAGTAACCCCAATGCGAGTATACGCAAGTGCGAACAACAAATCACTGCAGATAGTGCTGCCACCTGCCAACAGCTCGGTGTGAGTAAATACGATGTGATGTGAGATAAGCAGGAATCGCACAGGCTGTCAGCCCATGATGCACTCCTTACTCTGAGCCTCAATGTCCACCCTACAGATGGGGCAGTGCTTGTTTGTGACTAGCCACTGGTCCACGCACACCGTATGGTACAAGTGCATGCAGGGCAGACGTCTGAAAGGCAAGCAAACACATGCTAACATAAATAACTATAAACTATGATAACAGCGCACATAGCTCGCTAGTCACCCAGGTAGTAACAACGTGGAACACTATTACATCGATGGCTACTTATGATTCTGTCTAATCTATTACATTGTGTTAAACTCATACAGATATATTAGAGTTGCAGGAAGTCCATAGATTAAAAATGTGTTGTTGGTTCTAGAATATCATTTAGAACTCAATTTAAATAGATTTTTGAACACAAATAGTTTGAAAATCACATTTTCGTTTGTATTGTCGGTCGGGTTCGAATGTCAGGATGTTCATACATGTGAGCGGGTACACATTTATTACAAGTAAGGTTCCAGCCTTTACTTGTTTACAGCATGAAGAATGAGGAGATCATAATGTGTCATACCTAACATCTTCATTTTCTTCGAAATCACAGAGACAGATGGTGCAGCGCTCAGACACCTCTTCCTGGTTCTCATCCTCTATCACTCGCACAATCTACAAGAGAAGATATGGTGACTCCCTATGCAGTTACAGGGAAACTATAACAGAGTCTAATCTAAGGTGGTGCTTCAAGGAGCGGAGAAACGCTGTGAATTCGGTGCTATCGCGCGGGAATTCACCGAAGTTTTTATTTATTGTTTTATTGCATAGAGCTTCTAGCAGACAAACTAACATTCATTTATACAACTTGGAAGCGGGTACAGGAGATGCTGCAAATATGATAGATATAAATCTGAAATCATTATAGTGTGGTGTCTGAATCAATGTGTGTCACTTTTCACCGAGCATCTATTATCAAGTTAAATAACATTAAATATTGTTTAAGTATATTAAGTATATTGTTTATTTTAAGTTAAAAAAAAAGACGATATGTGCACAGTTAGTTCGATTTTTTTTAACGAATTACGAAAAAAACACGATGCCCACGAGGTGAAAACATCAATGTTACCCAACAAGATATTGTACTGCTTACCTTTTTATACTTATGAGGATATGTGTTTCTTTCTATAGTGGTCGGACTGGCACCTCTATTCACGATTCCTATCTGTTCCTCAAGGTGTATAAGCTCCTGTTGTACAGAAGAAGAGCAAGATGTAAGACTGTGATCCATATGATAGGTGAAAAATAGGACATCCTACACATCAGAAATCAGAATGTATTACAGCAAAACACTGTATGAAAATGTGCTCAAGCACCTACTGTTTATTAATACTTTTGTTATCAGCACACCTAATCTCTATATCTAATAATAAGGCAGTCAAAGGTACTAGTTAATCTAACTCCATGATAAACACGAATTGTTACTAATGTGATAGCATTGACAACCCCTCTGTTGTCTTTGTAAAGCTGTATTGCTAGTCGGATAGACTTGTCACCAGATAGCAACCAGGTGACAGCTGTGACAATAGTAACCTCACCATGATCACACGTTTAGGTCCCTCGTTTTTATGGGAAATAACAGTTAAAAAGTATTACATTTTGTTAACTTATAACGTAGGTAATTTAAGGTGCAAACAGCAGCATGAGACAATGCGATTGATAAGTCGTCCTCAGTTAAGAGTTGCCGACTGACAGGTCCAACTGTGACGCCTGCTTTACACGCTCTGTTTCATAAAGTTGAGAGGTGGCGCCCCCTGGACACCATGCTGTACCTACCTCGTACGTCGGTAGTGGCCGTGCGTACATGCGTCCCGTCATGCGCGCCTGCATGTGCCGCGGCAGGTGAGGCATCATGGGATAGGGAGGTGGAGGATATGCTGACGGAATTTCATGGATCGGCGGAGGCTGCAAGAAGATTTAAACGACTATAAGCATACCACATGGGACTACAGGTGTAACCAAAAGAATTTCATCAGATCTCATACACAGTTATAAGTGATTAATCACACCTTACATGTAACTATGAGAGTCAGACATTAATGCGAACAGAGTCGATGACTCCAGAGGTACAAAAACTGGGATGCTTTAGGTAAGAGTTAGAGTAGGGTTAGGTTAGTGTTGGTTTAGGGTTAGCAGTTCTGTAGCAAACTAATGACAGATGAAAAGAATAAATGGTCTTTACTCCAGTATTACCAACAGTTAAGCCAGTATCGCCAACTAATCAGGCGATCAGAGGACGAAAGTCCTGGAGATATATTCAACACTATGTGTTGCTTGATAGAACTTACAACTCCCGGAGCGATGCTTATGTTGAGATGGTGCAGTCGCGGGGGACCATGGTGGTAGTGATGTAGATGATGATGCAGATGCTGATGTGGTTGCTGCTCTCTGTAAGCACAAATAGTGACCATGTAAAGAACGTGAATCAATGTGAAAATAATTAAAAATACTTCATAAAGCATTCAGTAAACATTATTGTTCGAATACATTCCAATAATTGCATTAATATTACATTCATCTGTTGCGATAACATCGTGTAATTTCCACCTAATACCAACGATTCGCACTTATCAATTATATTTGATACTTCACCGTTAACACGTCACTACATATTCCTAATCCCCAATATTGGCCCACAATCTCTGCCTCCTAACTGGAAAGCCCATCTCCAAGCGCATAGTATTCCACACGGCCCTATGCTGTCCTGTCACTACTCTATTCGTTCACTATTCTCCTCTACCACACCAACAACATCAACAGCCTCCCCCCACACTGCTCTCCCACCACTCTCCCACAGCCTCCTCAACTGCACCTGTACACCTGCACTACTCACCCAGTGCTCTGAATGACAACTTCTGTGTGTATACTAGTGGCCTCGGGCCGATACTCGACGGACTGGCTGACTGGATTCTCAGCTGGGTTCAGGCTGACGTCCCGCACCATAGCTAGCGACAGATTTCTCCTGTGGCAAGGCAATAAATGACGCACACAGTATGAGAATCAGCAGTGCACACTATCAGGGGTAGATAATGACAAATCGTCAATTTGTCATTATCTACCCCTGATACTATGAGGCAGTGATGCAGAGGCATGGTAAAAAGGAGTAAGGAGTATGGGTAGTAGGGTAAGGAAAATGAATAGGGGGAGTAGTAGAAGAAGACAAAAGATGAAACAAAGAGGAATGGGAAGAGAATGGAAAGACGTACGTGAGACAAAGAGGAGTGGGGAAGGGAGTGGAAGAAAGGAAGCAGGTAAAGGAAAGACAATAGGGAAGGAAGTGTGGTTGTATGAGGTTGGTAGAGCAGAGGAAGTGGGAGTTGGAGTGACATTGGTAATATGGAGAAATAAGAAGAGAAATGAAGTGGAGTGAAGAGCAAATGAGAATGGAGAGCAGAGTGGAGTGCGAGGTGGATAAGACAAAGATAACGGGGAGGGAGGTGGGGTGGAATGCGGTGGGCAAGATGCAGGAATGGGGAGGGGAGTGAAGTGTACTGAAATGGATGAGGTAAATGAGAACGGGGGATGAGGTAGAAGGCAGTGAAGATAACGAAATGGGAGACTGCAAAGAGAAATGAGGACAGCAAATAGAAAAGCGAAGAGACGTAAAACCTTAGCAAATCACGTGACGAGGAAACGAAGATAGGTAAGTAAACACAGATGGAAAGATAGCAGCTGGGGGAGGGTGGGGGCAAAAGGTGAAGAATGGAGAAAGGTGCAAGAATGCTAAGGGGGTACAGCAGGAGAGTATATAATGACTTCTAGCTTTCCTTTCCACTCAGCAACACCCACACACCCTAACGAGCAACATTTCATCACAATTCCTAGCAACAACCTATTGCTATATCAATATTCTTCACATTGACATTGTAACACTCCTCCCAGCAGCACCATACTACGCTCCTCAGCAACACTACATACACCGCCTTCCCTAGCAACAACCCTGTCCTTCCCAGCAAGATTCCACCACCTCTCTCCACAGCACTCCAACATCCTCCGCAGAAACCTCCTCCTATCCCTCTCCCCCCACAACTCCCACACTTCTCAGTAACAATCCAACCACCTCCTCTAGAACACTCCACCTCACCCTACAGCAAATTCCACTGCAATACCCTACCATTATCCTCTGGCAGATCCCACCACCTTCCCCCAAATAACACACTCCCACACTCACTAGCAACACTCCACGATCCACCCAAGCAACGACTGCACCATTCTCCCATCCTCCCCCACACCACACTACCACCCCGTAACCTTCTCCCATCCTCCCCCACACCACCCTACCCCCCATCCTCCCCCACACCACCCTACCCCCATCCTCCCCCACACAACCTTACCACCCCCCAACATTCTCCCACGGTCCTCACCTGGACATAGATAGTGTGTGCTGCTCCAGCTGCCTTCGGTTAGCCTCCTGCATGCGATGGTGGGCCTGTAGAAGGCGCTGGTGTTGCGGGTTCAGCTGAGGTCCAGTCGGCACAACGTGGTGGTAGTGGTGATGAAAGTCCTGCGTGGTGGCGCCACGTGTCGCGTGGCCGGACGACTGCGGCGGGTAGGATGGATGCTGCTGCTGCAGCTGCTGACGCTGGTACTGATGTGACATCGGCACTCTACACGAGTGAGCTGTGGAGTGCACATACTGAGGTTATCCAAACATGATACTTGAATAAACTATTACATATACACACATATATATGTCTCAGTCTATGTCTGCCTACCTGTCTGCCTGTCTGCCTCTCTCTCTCTCTCTCTCTCTCTTTATATATATATATATATATATATATATATATATAATGCTATAGAAAATCGCAGCAATGTTTAACCAAATGTTAATCCAAAAACTAGTTTTTATGTTGTTTTCTTCAGATTTTCTCAGCAAAAGATCTACGTTCATCAAGTTCTATCAGTGTGAACGCTATAGACCCAATAATTTTGAGCTTAGGGGTAAAGTGACAAGTTATATATTAAGATATTAGAGTCAGGGTTTCTTCTGAGGAAAAATTAGACAAAGGAGGCAATGGCCAGTTTGGGGAAAAAACGTGCATGATGGATTCAAAGGAAATAACAGAAAAGTGTAGACTCCATGTCACATGACTCAATAAACGCACATGGCAATCTAAATATGCCAGAAGCATGTGGTGATCTATTTATTTTTGGGTTGACACTATTTTGACAACGGCGGGTAAATACAGGAACATTTTCACAACAGCGATGTTAAATTTGACAACGGCGGTGCGCCACGGTGCCTCCTATGTATGTAAGAAAACCTGAGAGTATATTATGAGCAAATGAGAATATTCTTCACAATGTCTAGTCTATATGGAGAAAGCAGCCAGTAGAATAAAACATACCAACAGGATGTGACTGCCTGTCAAAGCTGGGGTGACATATAGGACGTCTGTACTCTGTCATGTTGGCACCTGATGCTTCTATACAGCTCTGCGACGGCTGAAATGTTCAATAACTTATATTGTTTCCTGCAAAGTAACCCACAGTAGAAAACCATGTTCATACCTATTCAGTTCCCATTCATCCAGAGTTAGTCACATAAACACTATGGCTCGTTTCACTAAACTAAATTTGAACGATATATATATACTGCAATGTCAATGTACGATTAATGAGCAATAAATTCAGATACATTGTATAGTTTCACGTTCTAATCGTTATAACTAATAACAAGGCGGCAATCAGGCACCACTGTTATCACTTGTTATCAGCCCAACAACGGTTATACCAATAGAAGAGAGACATTTACATTGTTGTAGCCTGCTGTGCAAACAGGAAATACTATTTCGTTTCAGAAAACCCATTCACTTTAGAGAATGGTGATTGATTTTGTTCAAGACAACCATTCCCTGGCACTATGCCATGCATGCCAAGACATGGTTCATACAGGAGGAATGAAATTTTTTCAAGGACTTTTCAAGGACATTTTATCGGAATTCAAGGACATTTTATCGGAATTCATACACAGAACAAAACATACCTGGATTAATTTAATAATAACCCCATTCTTAATCCCTGTCACCTCTAAAACTTACCTGGATCACATTAATAAACCCTTCTAAACACTGTCACTTCTACACTAGTCTTGATTTACTGAATGATTTTACTGACTTAATTACTGTAATTTGTGATCATTATTTAACTGTCTATCGTGTCTATAGCTTTTTAAGCTCATTTAATGCAATTTTTATTGAGGTTTGCACATTATTGATGGTACAAAATTTCATTTTATTACATGCAAGGATTCTTTCTAAAAATTCAAGGACATTTTCATGAAATTCAAGGACTTTTCAAGCACAAAATCAAAATTTACTAAATTCAAGTACTTTTCAAGGACTCCCCTCAAATTCAAGGACTTTTGAAGGACTGTGCAAACCATGCAAGACTTCGTTATGAGTTGATAATCACAGTCACGATCAGTCTACAGGCACAGTACCTTTATCCCACAAATTCTGCACTGTCGTTCCATTGCTCACAGTTGTCGTGACTCACAGAAGAGTTCGAAATGCTGAACTACGCCAATAGTTTGGCGTCCCAGACACAAGGAATTATTTGCGCAATGTAAGCACATTGCACACGTTGATGGGAAACTGCATGAGTGCGTTCATGTTTTCTTTCACACAGATATACACATTAGATGCAATCAAAACCAGATGTAAAACTACAACTGCTACTGTTCAGTGTACTGTAGACCACAGTTCGTTTTCTACACTTATATTTTAAATAACCTCCCTGCTAAATCCATGCTTTCAATTTTCACTCTCTTATGACATCACATGGGCACTGAACGTTGAGACCTTCACGTATGTTTCAAACTACCACATCAACTGACAATGTTGCCTATAGCTTGTCCTTTTTATACTGCAGATCGTTCACGATCTAGAAGGAAGGCGGGAGCGAGTAGCATAGATAAGGACCGTGTGCAAGCCATCACTAACGTGGTTATAAACACACTGGTGACAGCAGTGACGGCTCTCTAGTATGTATCAACTAGACTGATCACCACACGTCATCACTCTATCGGCAACAGCACGTGACTTCTATTCTCTACCTGCACACGACTACTGCGCGTGATCAACGAAGAGAAAGAACGAGATCGCTGGTGCAATGTCCATGTATTGCTGGGAGTGCCAGTTAGAAATAAACACAGCCAGTGTTTACAACAGTTGTGTGCTAGGCACACACACACACGCACGCGCACACGCACACACGCACACACGCACACACACACATACGCACAACGCACCTTGCAACCAAATACCTAAACATCTCAAACGGATTTCCTACAGGTTATGTACACAATGTCCTGCATAGCGCTGTGAACTGAATGCATAGGGTGTAGTAGCTCTAGTACTATAGCCAGCGTACATTGACTGCCGCAGGCGCCTGCAGCAGTCAATGTACGCGGGCTATAGTACTAGAGCTAAGGGTGTAGGTGCATATCATCAAGAGCGTATAAAGAAGGAGAGCGTACAAGGGTGAAATGCTGAAACCATGTTGCAGTATTAGTCGAATTAAGAAACTTTGCCCGTTTTATTTTGACGATTCTTTGCGGTATTATTGATCACCTTGCTAACATAAAACAAACCGCTTGTCCCTACGATGCCGCTACGCTGAGATAATGAAATTTGGAATTTTCGCTCCGCTAATCTGGTATTTTCTCCGCTGTGTAGCGCCATGGTAGCGCCGACTCATTACGTCAGTACTACAGAGTTTACTACATCCAGCGTGAGGTGGGCACAGGTGGGGGTCATCACTATGGCAATCAATAACAGACGTCATTCATTCCATTTGTCAATCATTGACGGAAACACGCGAGGTTTCCCGAAGTTATCTCAAAGCGAGAGACAGTCGCAGTCAACAGGTATCTCGAGTCGGTTTTCGGCGAAAATACCAGATTTTCACCGCTCATTATCTCAGCGTAGGGGCATCGTAGGGACATGCGGTTTGTTTTATATGAACAAGGTAGGACAGCTGATCAATAATACTGCAAAGAATCGTCAAAATAAAACGGGTAATGTTTATTAATTCGACTAATAGTGCAGCATGGTTTCAGCATTTCACCGTTGTACGCTCTCCTTCTTTATACGCTCTTGATATCATCAGTGCATCTATCAGTCTCAGGAAACTATTATTTATCTACAAATGCTGTATTACTTATTGCTACCTTGATAGCATTATCTAGAGGCCATACATAGTAGTTATTGATCATCTGGCACCTATTTTAGCACTTGTCATGAATGTCCAGGAGAGAAAAGATTTGAACGACGCTTCTCAGACTAAAAGGTATAGGCGTGCCTCAAAACCTGTGTTAAAGCCGCACAATGCGCATCCTAACGCTAATTTCTCCAGTACTAGACTAGCAAATACTTCGTGGCATGCATAATCACACCACCTTATGACAAAATAAACTCTAGTTCCTCCCATTTCACTGCGCGTTTGCTTAAAATCCACAAGAAAGAGGTGAAAAAAAACTGGCATTCTGGCGCCAACGCCGACTTATTTGCCAAACAATTTAGCATCGAAGTGGTTAGGTGACGTCGCATGTTTTTATCTTTGCTACACCCGTACCGCTGTATCGCAGCACCGCTGCACGGTTGCTTGGGGGAGCAACGCGAAACTGTCAACAACATCGGAGAATTTGAACAACATTGGAGGTATTTTCAAATACCTTTTATAAGACAACGCACAGTGAAATGGGAGGAACTAGAGTTTATTTTGTCATAAGGTAGTGTGATTATGCATGACACGAAGTATTTGCTAGTCTAGTACTGGAGAAATTAGTGTTTGGATGCGCATTGTGCGGCTTTAAGCCTAGCGCAGACTTGAGACTTTGCTCATCGCTGCAACCTGCAACCGCATGCGATCGGTCGCACACTTCACCTAGAGTCCCTATATACAGAGAGTTGCGCCAACTCAGGATTTGACTCCATGTTGTTTCCAAATGTATCCACACCGCTGCCGCTTAAGTACAGCGCTGTATGGATACGCTGTACAATGGTCCGTAGTAATTAATTAGACTAATCGTGCTTCAAAAAACTCAAAATTTACAGAGATTATAGCTAAGACATGTGTCTATGTGTATCTAGATTTCTAGAAATGTAACTCAAATCGTTCGCACGATATGATAGTTTAATTG